CACCATCAATGTTGTCCGATTGATCCAGTGTTAGTTGTTTGCCATCATTCTGATCCTCTCGACCATCTGGCTGCAGGCCATGTGTGGATAGTAATTGAGACATCTCTTCGGGGTGTAGCTTCAAAGCACCAGGCTGTGCGGCGGACAGAATTGGTTTAATAAATTTCATCAACAATTGTACTGAGAAAGTATACTAATATTGGCTCGATTTTATTATGAAACTTAATTCTGATTATCTTTGGTTGCAGTTTTTACTTTAGTTATTTGTTTGTGTTTTTTTAATATGTTTAAAATACCTTTACTACAAAATATGCTATCAGAATCTTTGGAGAATCTAAAATTGCAAGTAATCAAACCAAAGTCAACCGATCTGTGCTTAATTTTTTGCTCACGTAATGCTGAAACTTGGGCCACTGCATCTATCAGTTGAACAAGCTGCAAAGCGGACTCTCCTTAACTTTGCGAGAGAGGCCTTTGGCAAAGGTAAGGTTTTGTGATCCCGGAATTAGGACAGGCTGGGCTCCCTGCGCTCTTTAGTTCTGGCTCTAAAGGAACAACATGCATAAGTACTAGTTTTCGGAAAAAAAACTATAAGGTTGAAACACACAGACAGGCGACCTAGAGCACTTCTATCATGGAGAGGCACGTCCAGGCGAGTACACTAAGGTGGTATCCATATGGCGCTAAAACACCTGAGGGGATAGGAGCAGGTGTTTGTGGCCCTAGACTGAAGCTTTCGGTGCCCCTATGTCATCAGTCTGTGTGCTGAGATTGACCTCGAACGAAGTATCGAAGCGAGAGGATGCTAATTTTAAGCCGGGCAGCACTCAAGGATCAAGGATTATGATCCTGGTTTAGTGACCTATGTCGCTTCTGTGACGCTATCAAAGATACTCCATTGCCCCTCCTTCTGAAGTGTTGAAGGGAGATGAGCATAGGGCACTTATGGCTAAGAGAGGACCACATCCGCTCTCTACCCCCGGGATATATTCTGAAATTTCTAGAGTCAGTGAGGTACTGCGATAAGCTGAGGACACAATAGACCTAGACTGAATACCTATTACTTACGACCTGTAATACAATTGCACGTGACTCTCAGCTTCGGTTGGAGCGGAGAACTTGAAACTCCGGCCTGGATACATCATCTGTTACCGATGGCTCTAAAACGGAACTCGGAGTTGGGGCAGGTGTTTTCTNGATTAGCTAAAAAGTTAGGTTGGACTATCGTCGATCTCTGCAGAAGATGGCTATATAGAACAGCCTTCTCGTTCACAGGGATGTAGATGATAACTGTATGATGGACAAACTTACAAAATGGGCTCGGCCACGTAGAAACTTCTAGGAAAATAATGCATGGGTCAACCTCTTGCCGCTTGTAAGCTGGATACAAAAAACGACCAACCTGACCTCTAGGAAAACATGGCATAGGTAGGATCAACACCAATTAATATTTTGATTTCTTAAAAAGTGTATACTAATT